GAGAGAGAGAGAGAGCGAGGAAACACAGAATCCAAAGCAGGCTCCTGTCAGCACAGAGCCCGACGCGGGGCTCGAACCCACAAACTGTGAGATCATGACCTGAGCCAAAATCGGATGCTCAACTGAGCCACCCAGGGCCCCCCAGGTCATCATCACTACAAGCACTTGGTTCTTTCCTCACTGGCACAAAACGGGCTGGAGTCATTTGAATTCGGCTGTAAGAATGCGTTTCTGGAAGGGGAATGGGGAACCTTTTAGAACAGTGACCCCACTTAGTTTCAGAAGAGGAACCCGAGGTGCCAAGTTGAAACAATCTTCCACGGCCGCGCAGCTAATGACACACACAAAGCCCAGACCGCGCCCCGAGCCTGCCCGACCCGAGTCGGAGGCCCTGGCGCAACTGTGGCCTGTCGCGACCTCAGCACCACCCTGACCACGGGGGTCCCGTGGCCCTGCTGTCGCTGTCCTCAGGTGTAGCCTCGGACCAGAAAGGCCGACTGACCCGGAAGCTAAGGCAACTAGGCTTGCGGGGTCCCCCACGGCTCTGCACCGTGGATGTGAAAATTTGTGTTTTCTTGGGGGACCCCTCAAGCATGAGCCGCAGACCCCACTAAGCTCCGTCTGCCTCTGCTGACCAGTAACCACGTGCAGGAGCTGAATCTCGGAAGTTCCAAAAGCGTCTCCGACCGACTCTCACGAATCCCCACACGCGACTGTCTTTGGGACGAGGTACCGAGGAGCCTGGGCAAATCCAGACAGGGCTGTGGACACCGAGGGAGCAGCTCAGTGACCCCCGTGCCCGGGAGCAGCCGGTCCGCACACCCACCCTAAATCCCTTCCCTCCAACTGGGGCGGGTAGGGACTGTTTCCCGTCTTCATCCAGGACTGCCCATGGACTCGGAACCCCATCTGCACGACCCGTGCCCCTGAGGACCTTCTCCATCCCAGCCGTGCGCTCACGGGACCAGAAGCTTCAGAGGAGGCAAGCAGGCCACGGACAGAGGGCCAGGGGGCTGGGAGGGACAGAGAGGAAGAGACGAGGGTACGTCTAAAGAGCTGGAGCTCAAGAGATCACCGCAGGTTGTGGGCACCAGGACTAAGGGGGTGTGACCGAAGCGTGACCTGAAAATAAGGCGGGAAAACTGAGTGGTCTGGGGAAATACTCAGGAACAGAGCAGACAAGACGTGGTGGGTACGCTGCACGGGTGTGGAAGCGAGTGAGGATGGAGGGATCACTTGGGTGGAGGGTGGTAGCCTGCACCCAGGTGGGAAAGGCCAGAGGAGGACCCAGCTTGGGGTGGGGGTGGGGGTGCCGGGTCAGCTGGGGACACTCTGACCCGTGGGCCTTCCGGTAGGTACTGGGATGAACTGCCCGCTGGCTGAGGGACCCAGAGCAGTGACGGGCTGCGCACAGCAGCCATGGTAGGAAGCCCCTTCAAGGCCCCCCGAAGAGCTCCCACAAGGGACCCTTGGGAGAAGCAGCCAGAAGGTTCCCGACCCCGGAGACCAGAGTGGAGGGTGACCGGGGCAGCGGAGGGAGATGTCCCCTCCTCCCTCAGGCTGAGGCCAGACCAGCGTTGGGGCAAGAGGATGAGCTCTCAGGGGGACAGGGGACAGACGGTGTAACCTGTGCCAGAGCCCTTTAAAAATTACAGTGACTGTGGAGCTTATAGATGTTTATGAGATACCATCGAGGACCTGAAGAGAACGCACGCGGCTGCGACTGGGGGGTTTTCTTTCTAAGGCAGTTCCAGCGACGCCCCCAGAGTTGAGACTGCTCGGTGAACCAGCTAAACGCAGTTTTACACGCTTGCTGCGGACGATGTTAAAAAACACGTGTCTGCAGAGAGACGGAAATAAACGCCGAGCACGATCCCACCACCAAGGAAAAAGTATTATTGCCGCTTGTGTGAGTAACGTTGCCGTTGCTAATGTGCCTCTTGTCACCGTTAGTCCTGCCGTCGCTTCAAACTTGCAGAGACGTCCCAACCACGGTACGAGGGGCTCCCCAGGCACCTCACCCGGACCTACTCTCCCTCTCCTCTGTCTCCCTATGAATGGAGACAGACCCACAGATATTGTTGCTGTTACGTTAAATATATTCCGTGTGGTTGCGGAATGACGATTCTAACAACATACTACTCTAACATAGACAGATATTTATTTTCTGGACCGTTCGCGATTAAGCGGGAGGCCCCTAATCTCCTGAATGTTTCAGGGTCTGTTTCCCAAGAATAAGGTAGTTCTCTTAGGTAACCATAGTGCCAACATCGACACCGATCTCTCGATATCTAGCCCACAGTCCATATTCAGACGACGTCAATTGTCCTAAAACTGTTCTCCACAGTAACTTGTTTTGCTGACTCAGCAGCCAGGCCAGCGGTCAGTGATTTCATAGGTGTCCCGCAGCTGGCGGGGGGGGGG